CCCTATATAAGCAAGAAGTTATGAAAAAAAGACTTAAAATTGCACTCAGGAGTATTTTTACAAGATTAATCAGGATAAAAGCCCAGGACTATTTTAATAGCCAATAGGCATAGCTAATAAAAGGACTATATTGCATGCTCACAGGAGATTGCAAGACTTCGCTAACATCTTTTTTTAGTAAATATTTCAGCTACCAGTCCCTGACAAACATTACAAGTGAGAAAACCAATGCTTATAACAGACTACAGTAAGAAACTGTGACAGAAAAAAATAAAAACCAAAACAACAACAACAAAATGTTACTTGTTGGATTAACTTCCTTTCCACAACTACAGTTATCCAGCAGGTAGTAGAAAGGAACAGATCAAAGAAAAAGAAAGCCATGGCTCCAAGAAACTTTCATATTACTGCAAAAAATTATTGAATATTACCCTCTGTTCTCTAATGCAGGAAAAAGAAACACTTGAAAAAACCAAAACAGCAACAAAAAGGTAAAGTCAAAAAAACCCTGTTAGCTAGAAGCCCATTACCTCAATATAAGCACATTTAATATACACAGTTTCTTAACATCTGGGTAAATTCTTTACAGGAATACTCTCATGCTTTAGGCTCACAACTTCAGCTTTTTTTTTTTAATCCCTCCTTTCTGTATTTGAAAATACTTCTTAAAAACGAACATAAGACTTCAAAGCAAGCAGCGCTTCCATGACTTAAAGGAAGTAAAGGACTTGTGAAGTAGTTGTTATAGAATGAGGTAACAGAACTACACTTTCTATAATATATCTTTATTTCCTTCTGTTAAGCGTTACTGATGTTTGCAGTATCAAACCCATTTTGCCTCAGCAATAGACAATATATTCATAACAAGAATTTTGTGTTCACCTGCATCCAACATGTGACCAGCTAATGTTTTTGAAGTAAGTGTTCAGTTCCATTATTACGTTCTATAATGTTCTCTAAGAATCTTTTTGATTGAATGGAAATATTTTTCACCTTGTAATTCTGCAGTTTGTTCCCAACATTGCATGAAATACCTACAAACTAAACAGATGCTCTCTCTGTATTTGTTATACTGGTAGCCAAAACACCGAATTAGATTCAGACCAGAAAAATATTCAGACATGTAAACGGAATCCAAATTAGACAGAAAGAGACCCTTCCATCCTCACCCATGGAACCTCATCGACCTTATCTGCCCTGCCATCCCTACCTAAACAACAACTCAACTACCCTGAATGAAACTGGAAGTACCGTTATTTTACTACAGAACATGTACGGCTGTTCTCTTCATGGTCTTTGGGGGAGGAAAGACTTCTAATAATCTTATTTTAAAGGAATATATATGGAATATATTCTATATGGAATACCATAGACTTTCTTAACTAACAAAGCAGAGAAGACTGCCATTTTTTTTTTCTGAATTTGCCAAAAACACTTTTACTATAAAATAGTGATACTACATGTATCACTAAAAAGAAAGGTTGTACTCTATTACAAGTATGCTTCTACCACAGATTACTTCAAACTCCATTTCTCTGTTGTCATGCTGTGCATATCCTCCCTGTTATTTCAGAGGCAGTGATCTGTAACAGCTCACCTATAGTAATAACTCAATCAAGCTACTAACTACACTTGAGTAGTCAAAATTCAGAATGGCCAGCTACAGAATGCAACTTACCGCATCCTTTTTAGTCCATACATGTGTTCCTGTTGTGCAGCCTTCTTGAGCTAAAAATGTATTGAAGTCAGACGTTTTCCTTTTACAACAGCTCCAATACTTCATCCTTGAAAGTTTGCAAAGTAATTAACAAACAATATTTAGGACACTATTTACTGTGAGTACTTAAAATCTTTCCTTTATGCAATATTACTGTTAATTTAGTATACCCTCCTGAAGCATTGCCATTTTTGACTGAAGAAGAAATACAGAATGAAAACAAGGCAACATCTACAAAGAAAGCATGAACGCATGATAGACTAATTAAAAAAAAAAAATTGAAGTTAACTGAGTACTAACCCTTCATGGAATATAGGTACACCAGAATGGTATATACATACTTCTTCTGTGCTGTGTGGTCCTTCGTACGTCTAGTAAAACAAAACATTTAAAGCGTATTACTGTTACAGGACGTGGACCGAAGGAAAAAACAGAACAAAACAAAACAAAATACAGCCCACAAGAGAAATATTGAACGAAGTACTACAAAGCTTTTGAGTAAATAATCTAAATCTAGTGGCTTGCCTTAGCTTTTCAAAACAGCCATTCAACCTTCACTCACAAGAGGCTCCCTGGCACTCTTCCTACCAAGATATACTTTGTATTAGTTCAATGGAGTACATCAAGGGTGACATCATCTATGCTCATAAAGGTCACTTTAGATCCTCAGAGATATCTATCTTCAAAAATACTCTGAATATTCGGAGAAAACAAGTACTTAACTGGAAAATAAATTAGATTTATCATTCATAAAACACATGGATTCTCAAAAGGAAGTAAATTAAACAATATACAACTCTGCCACGGAGTATCATATCAGTTGTTCCTAACACAAACGAGACTGTTATAAATTCTTCTCCCAGTTTCAGTAGAAAATGCAAAATCTCTCAGATGTCCAGTGAAATACCTATTTAAATTCTACTGTCCCATTCTGTACAACACAAGGGTGTCAATGTAAAAAAAACTTTCAGTTTAAATGGCCGTGTAATACAAAGACTAATTTTGCTGGTAGAAGTGCTAAAACATTTTCTTTGTGGATTCTTCTGGCAGGAAGCATGAATTGGTAAGATCTGCAGACGCTTCTGACCTATACCCAGATTATCAAGAGCAATTCAAGTGTTACCAGGGAGCCACCTCTCACCAGCATATTTAACATTTTAAGGTGAAACACCTCAGTACCATGGGTTTGGCAAGCTTACTAATCAGAAGATCAGGACAGGTGTAAAAAAAAAGTAATCTTAGACTTACTGCATCCACAGTACAAAACAGCCCACATTTGTCCATACGAGAGCATGCTATCAAATGTGCAGCCTGATGGACTTTGTGCCATTTCCAAATCAATTTGTAGAGCACAAAAAAACCCCAAGAAAGGAAAACAAAACTGCACACTTAATAGTTTAGCAGCTGGGTTTAAGAGTGGAACTGAACCACTTACTTTTGAACAGCCTGCATTTTTACATGCCGTCCCAATCTTGATTTCATCACTGTCTTCCTCTGTAAACAGAATCATATTATAGAAAACAGCAACTGAACTGTACAGTGTACTAAATATTTTGCTTTTATTGAGAATCAAAACAAGCGAAGGAATGGATTACGAAAAAAACCCTCTCAAGCTGGCTATTTTCTGCCTGGCACTGAAGTCTGCCAGAAAGGTACAAAGAAACAGAAATTATGCAAACATTCCAAAAGCTGTATTACCTATGCATCAGATTCTAGGTTCTATACCTTTACACTGTTTTAAGTGGGGCAAAAAAAATTGATGAAGAGGATTATTACAATCATAGGGGAAGAGAACAATCACTCATCTTGCTTGGTTTTGTAAAACTAAATGTAAAAGGCTCGAACTGCTGTCTACAAATACACACAAGGAAAGAATTTGGATAACAACTAGAAAGAAGAGCTAAATGACAGTTTTGGCACAAGAACAAAGAAATATAAAATAGCCACAAATGTAGGCCGAAATTAGAAAGTGTTTCATAAGGTGCAGTGTAGTTCTGGAACAAAAATCCAAATAAACTGCGGGAAGAAAAAAAGTGGAAAAACAGAAGAGGGAGAACCAACTAGACTTCAGAGGAATTTGAGCAGTTTATGAAAGGCTTTATAAGACATCGTGTTTGCAATAACACAGAAGTAGAGTTCATTGCTTGGGAAACTCTTTCAGTCATATATTCAGAAATTCATGTTCCCACCATGTCCATTCTAACCAGGAAATCTCATAAAATAGGCAGTTCAAATAATTTTAATGGGAACATACTGCTCCTAACACCCAAGTCTCCACATTGTTCACATTTAAACTTTGATTATCATTCCCTAGACTGGAAGGTATTTCCCAGATTATTGAGAACAAGAACATAATTACATGAAATAACTACTTCAGAAACAACAACAAAAAAACAGCATTTCATTTATTTGTGTGACAATCTGCATCATATACCTACTTAACCTCCCTATATCCTCACCTTTTTTCTCTTCGTTTTCTGATGACAGTTTCAGTTTATCTAGTGCTTGCTTCAAGGAAGCTGACACTTTCAGCTGCAAATTTGTCATTGGCTCGTCTGGGCTAAAAAAAAATCCATGTATTCATGTCAGCTTCATGAGAAATAATTTACAAAAGACAACAAAGTAGTAACTTTTAATCTTGCTACAAGGCTCTTCCTTTCCAACCTCCCTTACAACAACAAACAAACAAACTAGGTTTGTAAATGCCAATTCTTGCTGTTTATGGAAAAACAGACTAGAAATTTAGAAGGCAGTCTTGGACTTCAACAGGAAATCCTAAATACTCTACAACAATAAAAATGAATCAGAGAGATTAAGGAATCTAAATACAAGCACTCTAAAATTATTTTCTATGTCTGTTTAAAACACTAAACACAACTGCTAGTGGCATTCTAAGCTACGAGGCTTTAGACTGCAATTTTTGTTTCCTGTAAAGCTAAATGCCAAGAGATCGAGTACCACCTTGTCCTAACCAGAATTCTTTTATCTCATTTTGAAGCTTAAGATAACATCATCTCTGCTACCAAACACAAGCTCTTTTTTGAAGTTAATTTGGGATTTTTTACACTATATGAGATGTGTAACACTGAATAACCAAACAACCTTTAACTTGGCCAACTGACCACAAATCTGGCAAAACTTAGTTTCGGATACTGTACCTTGGTCTTTTAATTGTTTCCAATGGTTTTGGTGCCTGAATTATGTGCTCTTGAAATTTGGGTTTCAGTTCAGCCAGCTCCTTTCGTTCAGAGGTAGTTTTGACTTCTGGCTTAACAGGCTCAGGAGGTTTCTCACTGTTATGGAAACCCTTTGTACAGCCCTATTATGGAAAGCATATGTTTATATATATACAGTATAGTTTGTGTGCACAATTAAAAATTATCAAAAACTGCAACAAGTTTTCTCGATTTATTTCTTCAGCCCCATCTTCTCCTTTAAACCCACTCTAGACATTGGCTGCAAATGAAATCCTACAACTAAAGTGGAAAAATCTTCATTTGGACATATGTTAAAGAAAATTGCATACCTCCCATAATCAAGCAAAGTAACAAAAAATATTGACCTTCCTTCATTGTTAATAAGTATCTAAATAGGTTTTGACAGAACTAATTATAACCATTAAAGCTTGAAAATGAGACTCGACTTCAACATTATATCAAGAAAAATAGTGCATGCTAGATTAAGACAGTTTCAACAAAAGTACGCAAATTTTAAACATGTAAGCATATGTACCATTTAATATTTATCACTGTCATTTGACAAGTATAACACTTGTAAATAATCATGAGTACATACCACAATGCTTAAGAAGTCAGAAAAGTCTGTTGTTCTTCTCTTACAACATGACCAACCCTATAAAAATTTCGGAATAAAAACAAAACAAGCATGACTACCTTACTTGGCAACAGCTTACAAAAAGCAAAAGACTAATTATATTGCTTTACAAGATATGGCACATCACGATTAGAGATTATTTTCTTCTCTGGACAATATCGTCATCATGTGCATTTTTAAAAGCCAGAGAAACCTGTTACAGCTGCCACTTCTAGTTCACTCATGCTGCCTTAATCACATAGTTCGGTAAATGCGGGGCAATATTTCCATGACAAGTTAGGTGCCAACTCTGTAAACCAAACAAATACTATACCTGAGACTAGTCTCACCTGTGGCATAACGTACAGGCCCCTTTCCTAAAACGATGAGGACTTTTTCTTTCTTTGAGCACTAGTCAAGTCTTTCAACTGCTTATTTCCCACCACAAAGCTGGAGATGGGCCTTGCATAGCCATCTACCCAACTACATCAATCAAGAGCACTTTTTATTATATAAACCAGAAATCCCACTTTAGAGGAAATTATCTTGCCACTGTGAATAATGTATCTTACAACTTGAAGAACCTTATTAAAGGCAACGGTTTGACTAATAAATGCACCACTGCTTTGAGAGCTTAAGCAGTGTGACACAATGGGTTTTAGGTACGTGGTTCTAAAATATCCTCAAAATATTAACTATTTCCACAGTCAAGGAGACAAAAGGTTCACCCTGCCCACTTAGATTATCTAGAATTCATAGCAGGAGGAAAACTGCCCATACAAAATTATGACACATTTGTAATTAGACCAAGAGATAGGATAAGGAGAGGAGTGAAAGTAGTACCTGTTTTAAAAACGGTGCATATATAAGCAAAAGAGGGAGTAAACACAATCTTTTGAGGTAACTGTATAATTTCTGTCTTTATAATTATGTAGAAGTTTTAGGTACTGTGTTGTGAGTACCACTGTAATTTTGCACAAAACAAGCTGCCATAGTCTAAGTAACTGTATCGTATTTGATCTAACAGTGTCCATCCTCATTTGCGACTGGCACACTGTGGCCGGTTCCAGAGCCTTGTACTGCAATAGGAGCAATAGCTCACAGAAAATACGCTACCCAGCACACATGCACAAGCTTCCATGAGCCCAAAAGACAGCACATTATGGGACAGGGATGAGATGCACTGCCAGCAGAAGCAGTTGCTAAACACCAAGAAAAGATGCTTGCCCCAGAGCTTGGTTAAATAGCAGTCTGGTGTCCTAAGAAGGGTCACTTAGGCTACATCTGTATTAATACAGTAAACATTGCCAGGCTCCATTTCTGGACACCAGAATTCTGGCCATACCCTATTAAATTGTTACAATGATTTCCAGTACTGTTTTGGCAGTTGTGTCTCAGATAATTCCCTGTAGGCGCTTCGGATGCATCCAGTAGATCCTGAAGTAGGAAAACAGTTTAATGTAATGAATATGGGCTATGTAGTTGGCCTAAGCACTGGAGACCAGTCACAGGTATATTTAATTCACTACTGACGATGTAGCCCAAGAATCCTGGACAGCTGCATCACAGGCATGGCCTACCAGTCCCAACTTAATCAACATACTCATCTGTCAGATTAACAGAACACAATTATTTTTTATAGTAGGCAAATGTCACATACACATTAGTTCACTACCCACGTAAGACCACAAGCAGCTGGTTTGAATTCTAAGCACGTTAATTAATTGAAAGACTACGACACTTCTCAATGCCTCCAAAGACCTATTCAGAGGACCTAATTAAACTGTTGAGACACCTAAAGTCAATCAATAGGAAACATGGGTCACACAGACTTGCATGGCATTCAGACCATATGATTACAGTTTTCAATTTCTTCTTCAGGTTTGAGAAAGTGTGCTTTTCTAATTTCATGGGGTTGCTCAAACATGATAGGCTGGACATCAGTTTCTACAACTGAAAGATTTGGAATTAAAAAGGAAAACAAGCACACTGCTTTACATATATGAAAAAAAAAGATAAGACTTAGAAAGCTAGTTGCATACTTACTTTGAGAGCATCATGAAAGACTGGCACACCTGGATGATATGTGCATGAATCTAGAAGAAAATTACTATTATTAATATTCAGGCATGCCAAGAATCCTTATTCTGATCACAAACTCGGCAAAAATTTCACACTTGCAATTCACGTATGCCATGAGCTGTCCCACTTCCCCAAGTGCATGGAATTATGAAGGAAAATACAGACTACACAGAACAAGCTTTCTGAGTGCAGATATTAAACGTAAATAATCCAGATATTTTCTTCTGTATTATACAACACAAACCAGAAAGCAGGCATCTAAGACAACTTCTACTCCATATGGAGCAAGTAAATTTTCTATGGACCATCCCTTGCCTTCATCAATAATTAGTCCTTGATGGTAATTCCACAGAAGTCAATAAGGCCGTCCTGTGGCCACCCGACAGACATGAAATACTGTTTTACAGCATCAAATACATCTATTTGCACCTGATCAAGGCTTTCTATCTAGAAGCACTCTGTTAAAAAATTCTCTTAAGAGAAATCTTGAGTTTGTTATTTTATCCAAGATAATTAGCTTGTTCTTTTTTCACTGTTTGTGGTATCCTAGGTCACTTAAGGACTTGAACCCAAAGGCCAGTCTTCCACATACACAATTTAGACATGTCAATACTATTAATTATTAATAAGTTCTCTATAAACACTACACTGTAACATGACTTCCATTAACTGAACTGTTTATATTCACGGATGTTTATCAACACAACAGCTTTTTATGTAGCAACTGTTCCTTTTTTACTTAACAGATGTATTTTTTTTTAAAGTGTAAAACAATTGCTCTGATTATTTAACTCCTCTTTGACACATCCTGCATGGATATTTTAATGACTTGACTCTAAAAGCGATGGGAAACACTAGCTATCTTTTAGTCTTTAAAGCAAAATTTTTGCTGTTGTTAGAAACAGCTAAAATTAAAAGTGACACAAACAGTAACAATTTTTATAATAAGCCTCCGTAAAACAGAAGAGTGAAAAATATCACAATTCACATAACAGGAGGCATAAGAGAAAAGTGATAAATAACTTTATTAAATGGGCTTGAAGACAAATAACTTTGTTGTTTTAATTTTTTATAAATATGTAGATTTGTAAGAAATCTTGCTTAGTATAATTTTCTTTAGTTTTACATTCAGTGCCTAAGTCTAAGGCACTAATACAGTCTGATAGGCATGTTGCTTTAAGGTGATTGTTCCCACCTTAACTAAAAAGGCACATATTTTGGGACGTTAGTCCTTCAGCTGGACTTACATACATATCCATGAACTTCTACCAATTAATTCAGCTTCAGGATGAAAAGCTAATGCTTTCATAAATGCAAACCTCACAGGAAAATAAAAAAAAAAAAAAAAAGTGGTTGTTTGGTATAAAGAACGCAGGACTTCAGTAAATCTAATAAAAGTAAAAATAGAGGTTATTCTTTTCCAAAAGTATGGAAGTATGTCATCATAAGCATCATGGTAGTAAAACTAAGTTCTGTTTGCAGCAAAGATTATTTCTGAATCAGAAGACGTAAATTAATATTTCTAATCCCTCACAAGCATGTGGGTTTAAATGAGGTGCTGTTAGTGCAACATTTTTAGAGACCAAAACCATCTTGTGATCAATTAACTCAGGGACAGCTACCCTCCAGCTCACAAGTCAGAGACAAGCCTCTATTTGTCCATCTGGCCAACTCCAATCCTTTTTCCTTGCTTCCTGAAGCCTCCTCTGCAGGAGGTACATCATGGAGCAAATGACAGTCCGCTCTCTGGTGCTCTCTCATGAGGGCCATGCATGTTCCACAACAGAAAATGCTGAAACAAGGAGTTCTACTGTACCTCAAAAAGAGGCAGTGGGACTTATCCACTAAGCAGTCTGACCATTCTGTGTACCACAGGACAGTAAAATGTCCCTCATTTTCACTCATACTGAGCCCAACAACTCTTAGCTGATTAAAGTTTACATCCATAAAAATATCCCATCTCAGACTAAGTGGTGAAAACCGGGAGTTTAGCACACATCAATAGTCACCTGAGCAGTTAGAAGCACGCCTATTTCTGATTTGTCAGAGTTCAACTTCCAGCCTTTGGTTGCTATTCTACATTTTTCACTGCAAAAAAATGAAGTCACTTCTCCACTGCTTTTAACACCTTTCCTTAACCAGGACAAACTTAAGTCAAAACAAGGCATTTTCTTTTACCCTCAGATCATTTCTGGAGATGCAAGTACCACAAATTTTCAGGTTCTTTGGTGGGTTCTTTTTTTTATGCTGATTTCATACCCAGACCAATCCCCCTCTCATAATGCACACACTGCTGTCTGCTGCTGCCTTACCGCTACATCCTTGCTTATTCGTTGAAGCACTTTATTAGTCTTTTTGTTAAATGTCAAAGTAGAAAATGGCACAGGTCATCCAAACTTAGAGGTATTTACAACGGAATTGTGTGGAATTCTTGAGGATGAAATGAGACATCTGTCTATATACAACTTGCAAACTGACCTGCTAGCCTGTGGAAACACTCCAATACTTAGCAAGCTATGCTTTACAGCTCCAAAGCAATGGAAGGTCATTAAACCTGATGAAGTTCATTCAGCACCTTGGGGAATTCGATGCCTTCAAGTGGCTGCTGAAGCTAGGAAGCTAATTCCACTGTAATTCTCACAGTGTTGGAAAAAAAACATAGAAAACAGGACAAACATGGTATGGCAAGAGCTTATAAGTAGTTCACAGAGAAAAGAAAGGCTCAGCTTGAGAAACAGAAAGTCGAGGGGAAGACAGAGGATCAGAGGGTGCACTTCATAGGAACAGAGTTTGAACTGTGGGGACCAGACAAGGTTAAAAAAAGCTGACTGAGGGCACACAGACTCAAAATATCTCAGCTACCATTTCTTGCAACTTCATCTCTCACTCCACCTCAGAAATACATAAAGTAAGTTTGCATCAGGTCTGTGGTCATGTTTATCCTGCAGGTGCAACACCACCAAGTTTGATCTAAGGAAAAGGGTATAAGCAATCATGAAAAAGTACGTGCGTCTGTTCTGGCAACAGACCAAATTAAACCGCATTAAGAAAGATCCAAATTATAGCCTAAACCAAAAAATGCTGCAGTACAGTGAAGAAATTGAGACAAAAACATATAACATATACACTTTCCATCTGTTTGTGCATACCACCTTTATAACTGTCATTAAGAAGCACTGCTTTCAAACCTAAAGCCAAGTGCGCACGTACTACCTCACACCACTGTTTTAGCAGCAAAATTTGACCTGGCCTTGAAATGGATTAGAAATGGTCGCATGGTCACTCACAGTTAAAAAAAAAAATTAAAAACGTACTACTGCTTTTGAAGTTAAGTTCTACCTTCTGTGTCTGATGCTGGATAAGTCTTCAACAGTATGGATTAACTAGTAGTTAACATATCTAAAAGGCATGTGCAATTTGTACCTTGCCACAGATGAACTGGTAACTGTGCACTCAGACACAACTGTGCAGACATACCTTTAATGCTTTCCCTCAGGCTGTTTTTTCTGCCTCTTTTTAAGAGGCATACAGTCCTTCGTGTCAGCCAGTTGCCACTTGCTCATAGTTTGGAAACAATTAGAATTTCTACAGAAAATACATGCCTATATTATTTTAGCCATCTGGTTCTAAAGAGAAGATTAACGGCCTCTTACATCAATCATCACTGTGGGAATATCTATACTGCAGGATGAATGTAGACAAAAAACCTGAAAGATCCTATACTGCTTTGAGGCCAGCAGGCCTTATTTTCTAACCTATTTCGTTCAAGAAAATTTCCTATTAATATATTGATCCTAAGCTTAACTATTTGATTATGTCAATGCAAAACTTCTTATTAAAGGGATAAATATTTTGGTGTTTGTTTAACACATGTACTAGCCTTAATCCCCACAATATTTCAGAAGTAAATCCAAACACAGTTCCAAAACACAAACATTGGAACTTGACAGTCATACACAGCTAAATATGGATTTAGATGCCCAAGTAGTAATTATCCCACTGACCTTGGTGAAGTTTAGGGATGCCAAAAGTTATAATGAACTCTACTTCCACTGAAAATGTCAATCTTGGTTTTCTGAAGTCATCCGTGAAGAACTATGTTTACCTTTAGAACTACTTAGTCTAGGACACAGTAATTCCAGTAAGTGTTCCAGCCATTCACCAAAACAAACTTCATCTCAAGAAGCTGTTTTCCCCAACCCTGGCACCACACAATGAGCACAGGGCCATGCCAACCAGATCAGGTCTACTCCAACTTTGATCACAAACGTAGGAACACATGTTCAAGAACTGTTATTTTAATAATGAATACAGGTTATGAAGCCCCAATGAGAATTTTTAATATAAACACCCCTATCTGCTTTGTCTTCTGGGGCAAAGGGATGCGGGGGGTGGCGGTGGAAAAGATCACTAAATGGAAGCATTCCACAACTATGCCTGCTTTTCTGTTAATAACATTAGTGAGTCTTACTCAAAATGCTGCCCCTCTTTGGAAACACTTCGCTCAGAAAAACAAACACACGTTATGCCATGGTTCTTAATCACAGAATATGCACATGCTACAACATGTTAGCCTAATTCTAATCTCGTGGGTCACTAAAAATTAAGCTAATACAAAGAGGCCATTCTAGTAATTCAGCCAACAGAGTTACATTACAAACCAGCTGAGGGCAAGCCTACTGAAAACTCAGATCACTCTTTTGCAGCCTCTGTGGAATCATAAAACCTAACTTGATAGCGCTTTGAAGATGTTTCACCAGGTACTGGATCCTCAGTATGCATAGGGGAAGCACTGCCAAGAGCTCACAGCATTTGGCAAAGCAGACATATGCGTATCATAAAATACATTTAATTACCTGCTGCAAGTCCACATACTATAATTAAAAAAAAAAAAAACCAAACAGTTGATAACTGCTACATATGCAAGACCCACAGAGGCCCTCAAAAGAAAAACGTCTGTTGCTCAAGGCCTTCAGCTTCTACCTTCAGAATACATCACGGCAACGTACAGAACTGCTTCTTGTTGCCTCTTTTCCCTCACACTGCTGTGAACAGCTTTATTATTATAAAAGAACCTTAGAGCCCGGCTCGCCGCCAGCCCCACACTTGGAAGGGACACGGAAGGGATGGGAAGGGAAGGGACAACGTGCAGGGAAGGGACAACCCCCAGCCCGGGCAGGTTTCGCTGTCCAGCTGCCGCCATGCCCGTGGGGGAGCAGCCTTTTACCGCACCGGGGCACCCCTCCACCCCTGAAGCGGCAGAAAGCACCCCATGAACACACGGCTCTCGCCGGGGAGAAGCCAGCCGGGGCCGGCACCGTGCAGTGACAGACAGGGGAGGGCAGGAAGGACACACGGACACACGCACAACACCCGCAGGCCAGGGCTGTCCCTGCCCCTCGGTGCTGACCGGCCTGGCTGACAGCTCCGCACCGCGACGTGGCTCCGGCAACCGGGGAGGACGCCGAGCGTGGCGGGCACCCCGGGCCGCCCCCCAGGGCCCCCCCGCCGACCCCCCGCAGCCCCCGC